GTTTTGAGAACATGGGCTCCAGACTTCAGGCAGTCATTGACTGCAAAGGATTTTCATCCAAGTATTAAAATTATGGTTATATTTACAATTATGTCACTTTGTCCAAATACCTTTGAGTCCCTGAAAATGGAGGTACTTTGTTGAAAATGGCTGTAATTCCTAAATGGTAAATGCCATATTTTTGTGGAACCTCTTAAAACAAAGCTGAAAGTCTACACTTCCATCACATCTTGATTGTTTTATTTCAAATCCATTGTGGTGGTGTATAAAGGCAAAATCACAAAAACTCTGTCATTGTCCAAATACTTCCAGACCTGAATGTATGTCAGGGATCCAGCTCAGTGTACCCACTTCCACAAGAGACAGTACAGAGGGCCATCTGGACCAGGAATTGCTCCCAGGTGATCCTCCACCAGATGGATGGGTTCATCCAGGGACGCCAGGCAGAGGTTCTGGACCCACTCTGCTGTTCATGCCAACAGTCAAGTGATGAACTGCTCCAGTACCACCAGCTCAATGATATCCTTGGCATCCTGCTCATCTGCCAGCAGCCACCACCAACAGGAGTTCTTCAGCTGCTGTGACCAGATGAATGGTTGGCTGACATTGGTGAGCTTTGGGGAATAGAACCATTGGCAGTGCTCCTCTGGTGTCTGGCCACACTGCTGCAGAACCTCTTGAGACTCTGATACTCCAGCTGCATCCACGATGACAGATGCCACACACTCAAACACCTCTATGAAAGTAGAGATGGAGGCCATCTTTGTGAGCTTCACATGCCTGATGGAGGGAGCAGTTGCAGCTGGAGCATCTGTTGATCTTCAACCTTCAACCTGATCCTTAGTGATGGCTTCGAAGTACAGCTGTTGCTGTTGCACAGGTTAAGGAGGGCTTGATGTTTTGTCTGGTGGAGGCTGGAGAGGGACTTTGTAATTAATTAATAATTATTATGTTGGGAGATTTCCATGGCACCACTGAAGAACCTGCTGTGTGTGTCGGTGTGTTAAGGAGGACTTTTAAACTGGACAGTTGAAGAGTGGAAAAAGACCAGGAGATGTTTTTCCAATCTGCAACTGTCCAGTTTGGTGAGTCTGTGCTCAATGTTGCCTCCGATTCCTGTTCTTGGCTAAACTGTATTGAACCTGATGTGGTCTTCTATTGTTGTAGCCCACTTGCCTCCAGATTTAACATTTGCTTTCTGAGATCCGTTGCTTATCTTATTGCTAATGGAATTTCACATTTTACATACGTTGAATAGATTACTTTATTTAATTTGACAAAATCTATTTTGTGGAACATCATTGACAAAAAAAATTACAAGAAAAACAAGTAAAAGAAACAGATTTACACTTATCACTTTCTTTGTCTTCGAGTGCAGATGCACAGGTGCAAGATTTTGACTTGGTATAGCTTGGCCCCCAGAGAGAACGTCGAAAGAGCATCACTTGATGCAAATGATACTTTAATGACGTATTTATGCGCTCATCTAGAAGACACAGTGATTAGCAAGCAGTATTTTGTATAAACATTTGGGCAAAATAGGTGATGTAAGTATACTGTACAAGCGAGATAGAATTAGTAAAGCTATCTATTTTAATAAGACAAAAAAACAATATAAAGAGTATTAGTAAGGTGTTAGGCCACTATGAACCGCCTTGGCATCAATTTTACAAGTCTCTGGAACTGTACTAGAGGGATGAACACCATTCTTCCAAAAGATATTTGTTCAACTGGGTTGAAATCTGGTGACTATGAAAGCCATGGCCTACAATTGACATCATTTTCATACAAACCATTCATTGAGCCCTCATACCCTGTGGATGGGGATTGGAGAGACCACTTCAATCAGGACAGAAGTGTTTCATCACAGACTAAATGTGATTATTCAGATGATATTTGTATTGATTTGCAGTAACAATTCACTCTAAGGGGACAAGTGGAGCAAAACTATACCAGGAAAATGCCTTACACAGGATTTAAACAATGCCCATTTGGTATTTAAGAGGCTTAATGTGTGCCATGAAAACATCATGCACTGCACTGCACAACCACCAGGCTAAACCATTAATACGAAACTGGATGAATCCAAGGTTTCATAATTTTAATGCCAAATTCTGAGAATTTTCAGATGAGTAGACTTTTCCCTTCTTTAGGTATCCGACTGGATTTCATGTGCTTGGCTGACAGGAGTAGAGCGCGGTCTTTTGCTGTAGCCCATCCACTTCAGGGTTCGACGTGTTGTGCTTTCAGAGATGCCTTTCTGTACACCACTGTTATAACGCATAGTTATTTCAGTTACTGTCGCTGTCCTGTCAGATTGCACCAGTCTGTCCAATCTCCTCTGACCTCTCTCATTAACCAGGCGTTTTCGCCCACAGAAATGCCGCTCACTGGATGTTTTTTCTTTCTTGCGCCATTCTGTGTAAACTCTGGAGACTGTTGTGCGTGAAAATCCCAGGAGTTCAGCAGTTTCAGAGACACTCAGACCAGCCCGTCTGGCACCAACAACCAAGCCACGGTCAAAGTCACTTAGATCAGATTTCTTCCCCATTCTGTGTTTTTAAATTTCCTCTTGAAATTTAGAGTCCCAAAAACGGAGAACGTATTAAACACTAACCCTGAGATAGTCTATGGATCTGCTGCAAATCACCACCAACCTTATCACTGTTTTTACAGATAATTATACTGCACTGACTGCACCAGCTCACTTTTCTGTCTTTTCCCCTTTTTCTGACTTTGACAGGGCTTTAATCCATGTGCTTCTGCTTCATCCCAGACTGGTTCCCTTTTAGGTCAAACGGTGATATAGAGCTGAAAGAAGAAGGGAAAACACATTTTTACACGTATGTGATCAGAAATCCTGTTACACTGAAAATGGACTCTAATATACAGGTAATCAAAATACTT